CCACTTCAGCTGTGCAGCATATTTTGGGTTTTTTAGAGAATTAGGCATATCTGAATTTAAAATAGAGCCCTACCCACATACATTGGAGTAAAAGGATAAAAATGGTCTCATTTTACAGAAAACCCTCTAAATTTTAACACAGTGGTGGAATATTGTATATAATATATTGTATTTATTCTCAATTGTATGATAAACACATATAAAAAGTGTTCCCCCTTTTTTTTTTTTTTTTTTTTTAAATCTGGCAGAGAATGAACTGAAATGGACCGCGATGTCAGTATGTCAAACTTAAGAACTTTCCTTACGGTTTTTGGTCTAACATGGTTTCATTAGAACAGTTTAATTTGTTAATCTTTAAAAATATATATTTAGTTGTTCTGTGTTAATTTCTGTGTAAAGGTGTGGTCACACGACTTTAAGCATTTAAAATTACTTCGGAACCTGTACAAACTGTATAAACATGGGTTACATGATATGATTTCAAGCTTAGTGCCTCTGATGTTAATAATTCATAAACTGAAAATAACAAATGATAGAATAAAATGTAAAATACAGTCTCTTCTCTACAATCCCACAGCACAACAAAACATATACTTAGACAAGAGCTCAGTCTGTGATGTTTACATCCTCTATTTGGTCAAACAACTTTTTGCTATAAACATTTCCACATCAGAGTTTACATTTACGCATTTCTACATTTGAATATGTATGACAGTAAATGAATGGAGCATAAAGTCTATGTGGAGCATAAAGTCTGCTGTGATCAGATCTTTATATGTAATAATTTTTCTCTCTTCTGTGTAAAGCTTGTATTATTAATTTCATTGATGGTCTGGCTTAACAGCAGTATCAATATAATTTAATTTATATAAACGAATAGAATTTATGTAACCTACATTGTTTTTCCTTAGACATTCGTGGTCAGAGGGACAAATCTAAATCTTGCGATGGCTTAAATGTCAGCATTGCAGCTCAGAGTGGAAGCCATATTACAGCACCTGTGATCTCTAATAATAACATCATTGGCAATGTTCAGATCATACATAATGCACCTGGTAACATCTGTTATTTTTATTGATGCTGATAATATAGGATTTTTCTGAAAACATATGATTAGATATTTCTTCATAGCTCTAAATAAGTCTATAGCTAAATATATCATGTAAAAAAGTGTAATCTTTTGCAGGTTGCACAGGGCATCACCCAAACACCCAAAATGAGAAAACAAAGACCTCAGGTAAATGATGAATGATGGTTTTGTCATTTCATAGAGGCTTTCAATATTTTACATAGTACACTATATGATGAGATAGTTGTGAAACACACACCTATGTGCTTGTTGAGCATTTAATTTTAAAACAATGGTCGTTGTTAGGTGGTTGACTCCCAGTCTTTTTGATGGCTTTTTCCCTAAATGTTGGTACACGATTGGTGTTTATATACTTTTAGCCATGTGGCGTTCCTGTACATTCTGAAGAATTTTGTTACACAGAATCACCCAGATACATAAAGAGGATTAAAAAGTCATTCACTTTTGTTAAACATACTAAACTTTTGGACATTTTATTTCTGCAGAAAGGAGATCAGTGCTTCTTAAATATAAGCAGCTGATACGCAATGAGTACCAGTATGTGACAGAGTATAACTCTCTGCCTGGTGAGCATGTGCTGCTGTCTGATCGCTACACACAACCTCTGATTATTCAGAAACACAGAGATCGGAAAGAGCTAGAAGAAGAGATCTCCGCCAGAGGAGAGACTTTCCAGCAGGTCCGTGGTTCCAGAAGCTCTCAAGAATCCATTGGTCTGAACATTTATAACTCTCTGCCTGGTGAGCATGTGCTGCTGTCTGATCGCTACATACAACCTCTGATTATTCAGAAACACAGAGATCAGAAAGAGCTAGAAGAAGAGATCTCCGCCAGAGGAGAGACTTTCCAGCAGGTCCGCGGTTCCAGAAGCTCTCAAGAGTCCATCAGTCTGGACACTCTGTTCAACCCAGATAGCCGAGGAATCAGTCCTGGTGCTGTTATATTACAGGGCAACTCCGGGAACGGAAAATCCTTCACTGTGCAGAAAATGATGATGGACTGGGCATGTGATCTCTACAGAACCAAATTTGATGTTGTTTTCCATGTAAAGTGTAAGGAAATTAGCCACATTTCTAGCAGAATGAGTTTGGTGGAGCTCCTGAGCTACAATAGCTTTTTAACATCAGATGAGATATCCACCATACTGCAGCGGTCACCAGAGCGTGTGCTCTTCCTCGTCGATGGATTCGATGAACTTAAATACACAGAAGACTTTTATCGCATGTTGCCACCCACAGATCAGTATCAGAAAGCCCCTCCTGAGGTCACTCTCTGCGCCCTGTTAAGGGGACGCATCCTGCGAGAGTCATGCCTTCTGGTCACCACCAGATCTACAGCTATTGACATCCTGAAGAACGTTCTGAAGGAACCACACAGTTTTACTGAGATTGTTGGCTTCTCTGAGAAGGGGGTGGAGGAGTACTTCAAAAAGTTCTTCCAGAATGACAGACTATTCAGGAAAGGGTACGAGTATGTGAGCGCAAATGAAACTCTCCTCACGACCTGCTCCATCCCTGTCATCTGCTGGATCATCTGCACAGTTATTCGAGAGAGGCTTAATGATGGTGCAGATGTTACGAGTGGACTGGAGACGACCACGTCCATATATGTTGACTTTCTGTGCACTCTACTAGAGCATCACAGCCGGGGTTCAGGTCAATCCGTTCCCACCCTGGTGAAGAGTCTGGGTCAGCTGGCAGAGAAAGGGATACTGGCACAGCAAGTCCTGTTTGATGAGAAGACCGTGTATGAAATGGTTTCCGACCCTGCTGGAAGTCCATTCTTGTGCAAGTTCCTTTTTAAGAAAAGAATCCACCAGGAGACAATGTTCAGTTTCATGCATCTCAGCTTTCAGGAGTTCTTCACTGCTCTGTACTATCTCCTAATGGATGAATACGAGTCAAAAAAGAAACTCATGCAAATGTTTTCCATTCATGAGTCAAATATCAATACAGAGTATTCAGCACCACGTTTTGCAGCTGTAGTGCACTTTATTTTTGGTCTGTTGAATGAGGACGTAAGACGCACACTTTGGAAAAGGCATGGTTTGTTCGTTCATTCAAACATACAAGACCATCTGAAGGAATGGATCTTTGAAGAGATGTCTCATTCTCGTTCTGAGAGGATTCTGTTTTTATTCCACTGTCTGTACGAGCTCCATGAAGAAGACGTTGTGAAAGAAGTTACAGAAGCCTGTCCAAGTGTTATTTTACACAATGCATTCATAAGAAAAGCAGACTGTTGGTCCATGGTGTACTGCGCTCAGTGCTGCCAATGTATTAAAGACCTGTTTATCTTTTGCTGTAACTTTACATCCGAAGAGCTGGCTATCATTCAACCTGTACTCCACAAATTTCTCTCAATAAAGTAAGTCTGTCTGTCTGTTCCATTTTAACAATTTAGCTTTCTCTCTGTCCGTAATCCTTAAACTTCAAACTGCAAAACTTTTGAAACTTTTTTCAAAACTTTGTTAATTTCTTGTTTAAAGTGCCCCTATTATGGATTTTTGAAAATTACCTTTCATGCAGTGTGTAACGCAGCTCTAAGTGAATGAAAATATCCTGCAAAGTTTTAAATCTGAAAGTGCGCCTTGTATAAAGTTATTGTCTCTCAAAAGAAAGAGTCGACTCTGAATCATTGAAACGAGTCGTTTTTAAAACGAATCCCAAGCCGTTTCATGTTGACGTCAACATGAAACATTAGCATATTGCCCGCACAATTGTTGGTCTTTTCACATTGGTCTGAATGAAAATGCAAATTCATTCTTTGCCACTAGGTGCCTCTTTTGGAGCAGTAAAAATAGTTTCCCTGGAAACGATGTACACAAAGCAGCACTGAGCTCACAAACGCTGCTTTATCAGCCATTACAGGCAGGGCCGTCGCTAGTGGGGTGAAAGGTGGTCACGAAAGCTTATCATTTGCAGTGTTTTTAAGCTTTGCCAATTTAAACATTCAAAAGCGTTTAAAGCATTCAAACACAAGACACGGAAAAACTCAACTGAGTACCCGCGCGCCGTGTTCGGAGCGCTCGCAGAGAGCCGTGTCTCACGGACAGCAACACCGAACCGACCTCCTGCACCTGAATGAACAAATACAAATTGCAGTTTAAACATGCAAACAGAAAAAGATGTGAACAAGCCCAATTCAGCACCCGTGCGCGGTGTTCTGTGCGCACAGGGCACATGCAGAGAGACGCGTCTCAAAGCACTTGAACACCGAATGTACCTCTTCTTGCTCTTGTACCAACAAATACATACAAAATTGTCAAAATACCCTGTAAAAAAACTGTCGGTTATGTCTTAAGTGAAAGTAAACAGTGGAGAAAGAAATCGGATGTGTAGACCTTTTTACACCACAGACTGAACCAAATTAAGCATTGCTTGGTAATTGGTCAACAAAGCATTGATAGTTGTGTAACTAACAGTTGTCTGAATTTTTGGTTGATTGTAATCCATTGCATACCTTTCTATCAAAGTTATCTGACATTATCAAGATGAATTTGTTCTGACAGAGTTTAACTCTGAGTTCTTGTCATATTTTATAACCATTTTCTAAACTATAGCGAATAAACTGTGATAATGTGAGAAATGTTGAAGGTGTCTGAATAAATTTTGGTTTGACTGTATATTTAATTTTTACAGTGAAGACTATGCAGTGCTATTTTACATTT